ATAATATGCATCTTCCTTCATCCTTTGTTTTGAGAGAATCTTCTTTGTTTTATGTTAACGAGAATCTCGATGAAGTGCATGGTTATATATGCTAGGAAATGAAATCTCTTCCCTTGTGCAAATATTGAAACTCAATATCCACATATTCACCGCGCATAAATCATATCTCTGATGGAAGATCAACTATGCACCATAATGAGTCCTGTAATTTAGAAATAACCCATTGTTCCTTTATTAAAACTTTCATTCATATTGTTTGTTCTCGCTAAATTGTGAACAGCTGCAAAATTAAACGCTTCATTGCTTTCTGTATTTTTCTTCTTTATAGGTTATGTCTCAAATAATCTCTTAATAAACTTTATTAGATCAAAATTTCTTCACACAAAAAAATTAAAAATATACAATTACCATTAAGCCGAATTTTTCGTACAGGAAATTTTTTATAATAAGAATTTTTTTTTATTTATTAACTTAACATCATTATCATTATTATTAAAATTATAATTCACTATCAATTAAATACTAGTTATTTTAAAAAATAATTACTTTTAATTAATAAATAATTTTTATAAAAAATAATTAATTTTGAAATGATGTAATGATTTATTTTTATCTATTTGTTTAAAAATTCCATTTGATGTAATAAAATGTAAAAAGCAATATTCTCGTATTTCATTAGTAATAATCTCTCTCTTTCTCTCTCTATACATAGTTTTTAGAGGGACAGTAATGATGTAATAAACTCGAGACTTTCATTACGTTTCTGCTCATTAAGAAAAATTAATATAACGAGCAATATTACGTTGATAACGTTGAAAATAGTTGGAAATACAATTTTGAAAAATTGAGAATAAAGCGCAGTAGAAGAAGCGAATTTTTTTTTCCCCTTTAGAAACTCAATGAAATGGTTACTTTTTTTATATTTTTTTCTTATCGACATTGCTAGCACCTCTTCGCGGTTGTCACAGGAATGTAGCTTTTTTTTAACAAAAAAAAACGCATGGCGCGCGCACTCCTTTCTCACTTTTCCTTCAAATGGTATTTTAGAAGCATAGAAAACTTAATGGTTCGTTTCTTTTCATTTATTGCGCTCCCTCAAGTGCGGGGAACTTGAAAGCATCGTGTCCTCCTTCAACCATCTTTTTGTTCTTCTCTTTCATTGAAAAATTCTCAAGGAGAATCGGTTTTCGATTCTTAAAATCAATTTCTATTTAATTTATATAGCCGATTATTATTATATCAAGTATCAATTATTACTTTTTCTTTTTTGAAAAATTTGATAAATTTTGCTTTACGATTTTTGGAAATTTTCCCGAATTAATATTTATAATTATTTATTTATATTAATAATAATTATTATTTAATAATAAATATAATAAAAATTTTTTTGTTTTTTTGGAAAAAAGAGAAAAAATTATTTTTTTTTGGTGTTGGGTGGGGGAGGGAGGAGGTTAAAGAGGTGCTCGTTTGGCTAACAAGCATAACGAAGGAGAAAATATTTGATCGTCGATTGCATTGAATATAAATCAAACGAACGCGTTAATTTGGCCCCCTTTGGTAATTTCGGTTTCCGATCGTCGAAATTGGCGTCGAGGTCGATTAAGCTCAAGTACTGTGTTGGGCAAAACGTTCTTTACCTCTCTCTCTATATATATATGGGTGATTCTACGTTGAGAGGTATATACCAAATTCTTACGATTTTGTAGCAAAACATAGCACATATTTTATTCTTCACATATTCTAGTTTATTTCGATTTTTTTTAAATTAAAATTTTTTTAAACATTAAATAAAAAAATTACAATTATTATCAATTTTTACCGTAAATTGATACGTAAAAAAAATGAGGAATTTTTTCATCATGCGCTATAGAGGTACCTCTTAACGTAGAATCGCCCATAAATATATTGATCGAAAATAGGATTCGTGTGGTTTATAGTCGATCGTCTCGATGGGTGCATTTTTCGCTTTCTACTTCTTTTTCTTTTTTTTTTTAATATATAAAAGACACGTTACTTTATTTCTTTTGTCTCCCAAAAATTTCCTCTACTCTCTCTAGATATCGTTTAGTTTGTCGAACCTTCATCTTTTTAAATAAAAAAAAAAACGAAGCCTATTATTTATGATCTCGTAAATTGATAATTAGGTTCTTCGACGTGGGGCCCTCATCGACAAAATTGATTTCTCTCTTTCTCTCTCATTTTCATCCCGAATCGAAAATGGATCCTTTCGGGATCAATGGTGATTTAATTAAAGATTATAGCTTTAAGAAAATTAAGATTAATCACGTTTCAAGGTGTTCAGACTTGATGGTGAAGAAAAGGAAGCTTATTTGGCTTGCCTCCTGGGCAACGGCTTCGTAATTATTTCCCCGTCGTCGTTGTCATAAAAACGTCGGTGAGATGACGTCCTTTGTTTGTAACGAAAAACGATAGGCTTTTAAATAAAAAAAAAAAAAAAAAGAAGGTCGCATGACTTTGTCACATCCAATCATTTTTTCTTTGCCTTTCATCACAAGTTTTATTATTTTTTTTCCAGAATTTTTATTATTTTTTCCACTTCTACTTTTAGTGGAAATGTAATGACAAAATTTGAATTGGAATGGTGAAAGTGGAATTAGAAGTATGGACGTTTTTTTATGTTGTATTTTGAATGTTTTTAATTTTTTCAATGTTTTGATTGTTGACTATTGTACTCTGTGAATTGATGTCAAATAATATTTGTATATTTAACGTTTTGAGCAATATTGTATTTATCGTTGATTCACAGGCTTACCATTATTTGTGTGCCACTGTCATTATATAATATTTCAGCGTGAATTACAGTTTAGCTCACTCTCAAGTTTCAAGAGAGACGTTAAGAGAAACCTCAGCTGTTCAGGATGGACTGCGAAGACAGAGAGGACTTCTCAAGACTATTAATCCTTCCATTTCATATTTGAAATCTAGTCATTCATGTTCGATCGTCTATGATCAGATATAAATTCAATGCCTATTGTAGTTGCAGCCTCAGCTTAATTCAACTCCAGAGGCGATTTGACGATCCGGCAATATATATATATATATATATATATATATACCACAAATCTGAATTCCGAGATGTAGAAACTGATCAAAAAGTCTGTCCACAATTCGTCGGAAGTGAATAGTGGGCCGAGTGCGGGTCAAGTGCACAACCACGAAATGAGAAAATTACTTTCTCACTGTCTTGCTCGTTTCAGATTCTATATATATATATATATATATATATATATATGACTGCTAGTAATTTGTCATTCGAGTGCCCACTCACATTTGATTTTACTCCCTTTTAATCGAAAAACTTTCTCACTCAACGTACACATAACGTCAGAAGAGTAAAAATACTGAAGCTGAAACATTTTTGCTGAAATAATTTTTATATGAACGAAAAAATAAAAAAAAAATATTTTAAATTAAATCACTGTTTAGAAAAAAAAGTCGATAAATCCTATTAATTAATTTAAAATATTTTTTTTAATACTTTTAACTGGAATTCGAAATTAGTAACTGATTTTGGAATTTTTTTCCATGTAAAAAGCTTAATTTAATTTTTCAATTTTTGTTGTCCGCCATTTTGAATTCATAAAAATTGACATTAAATCGTATAAAACAATTCGTCTAAATAATTTCGTTTTTATTCGGAAATCTGCTTGTAGAAATAGATTCTTTTTTTTAATTTTTAGTAATTAATTTTTATATTGGTTGAATATTTTCCGATATTTTTTTGTACCCAAGAGACTTGAATATATATGTATACAGTGAGATACAGATACAGTGAGAATCGATTTCGTCGACTTGGGAGCAATAAGTGGAGAGCACCTGGTTCCAAGTGTTATGAGACCTCTCGAGATCGCACCTATGTATCCTTCTTCTTCTTTAACCCTCATCCTTTCTCATGCCATTTCCGCTTTGGGACCATTGCCACCCACTCAAGAATTTTTTGAAACGGCGAGGTTATCACCTCCCAGATGGCGTTCGATCCAAGATTGGAGAGGGTTGTCTTCTCTCTTTCTTTCTGAAAGAATGGATCCTTATTGCACTTTTTTCTATTTTGTCATTTTGTGGTCCCACTTTTTATTCACTTTCAGGTCAAAATCCTCACGCGAATGTGTATATGTATGTTTCTCACTTCGTTCAATGCAGATATTGTCAGCTTTTTTTTTTTTTTGATACACTATTTCTTAACACGTGCTTCTTAAAAAAAAGAATTGTAGAAATGGATTCTTTCTTCCTGAACAGATTTGGACAGCTTGTCTCGAATTATTCTCAGATTTTTATCAAATCATAATCAATTTTATGAGAATTCTTTTTTCCCTTTTCATATTAAATTTGGAATATTATTGAAAAATATTTTTAGTTTTATTATTTTTTGAAGGAAATCATTTAAATCCTCTCGCTAATACCAAAAAAATAACTTAACTCCACAGAGATTAAGTTGAAGTAATCCCACAGTATTGTAAACGCAGTCTGTGATTTTTTTTCGAAAACATGACGATGATGATATTTTACAATTTATCGACCATTTTTTTTTTTTTGGAATCCTACGCGATATTTTGTGGTTTAATATTTTGTGGAGCTGCTACTACTACTACTATTACACACTAACTCGATATTACATGGAACGTACGAAATTTATGTGTTTCATGTTCAGAAAGAGGTCGCGGGGTTTATCGAACGGGAGAGAGAAGCTTAATGCGAATGACGTAGATAGATTACATTCTTTTACGAGACTTTATAGCAAAATTCGCAGGAACGTTGTACAAGCAATAGTTGTGCTCGCGCTTGTCGTACGATTTCTCACCCGTCATCATTTTATAGAAAACAAAGAAAAGAAAACGGAAAAGGTGACAAATAATATTTAAGAATTTTTCCAATAAGATTCTAATTTTCTTCTCTTCTCTACAATGAATCTTCAACTTTTTGACAATTCTTTTAATTTCTTATTATTTTGTTTTTTATGATTTATTATATTTTTGTTACAGGCAATCCACGTACATTATCTCCTAGGCCTTTACGAGGAGGTTAGTTTATTTTTTGTTTTGATTTTTGCAAATTTTTATTTTCTCAGTAGTCAATTTCTTTTATTATTAACTCCCCCCATTTGTTCTATTGCTTTAATTATTTGACACATATATTCGCTGACTTTCTTTAAAAAGACATTAAAAAATTGGTTTTATTTTCCAGCCTCTTTTTTTGGATATATTCTTTCTGTGGAATCTATTAACCAACACAGTATATTAGTTTAATTTAGTGTTAAGTAATAAATTATTTATTAATTAATAATGTCACCAGTAATTACTAACACTTATTGTATTTGTTCATTTTTTTTAGGAAGGAGATTCTTTGTACCGTACTTTAATTTTATCCAAAAATGTTTATTTATATTATGCACATGGTGTTGTTTCTTGCGGGAATGTAAATGAATATTGTTAGAGGGTGTTTTCTCTCTTTGTTTCTGTCATTTGATAACTCGATACTTGACACATCTTCGCGTGGTAATGTTGACATTCACGCAAACAGAGGATATGTACCTTGCACAACATCAATGGAGTTAAGTTTAGTGACAAATTTCATTGAAAATTAGGCCATGATAACAAAGGAAATATCTTGGCAAACATTCCAATTGAATGTTTGTATATATGTGACAATTTCACGCTCGCAGAGAAAACGGGGCGAAAATGTAAATGTACACCTTAACATTACATTGGTCGATATATATATATATATACATATACAGCAAAGTGCTTTGAATTAGAACTTCCTCTCAAGGAGAAATTACAAACTAGATAATTACCATTCATTGGGAAATCCTAAGGAGAATAATTATCTTCCCCAAAGTTTATTTATCAGTAACGCGCGTTGCCTGAGGTGTTTTACTTTTGAGCTCTATATTTGATTTTCAAACAACTTTTGTGTCAGGAAATTGTACAAATTCGTTGATTTTTCGTTACTTTGTTTTACAATTTATCAATTAATTTTTTTTGTAATTAATTAATTGTATTAAACATTTTATCGAAATTTACATAATATATAAAAGCAAATACTGACAATCAAATAATTTTCTTCAAATTAATTAATAATTTATATTAAGGGAATTGCAAATACCTACAGTTAATTTAATGTTGAAAAAAAATTATTTTATAAACTATTTAAAATACTTTAAAGTTTTTGAATTCATTTTTGTTTTTTACAATAATAACGATCAATTTTTATGGATATATAAATTTTTTTTGGCGATTTTAATTTGCATGCCTTCTTATAGTTATCAATTCTTCATGGGTACTTTAGAAAATTACCTTCCCTCTCTCTCTATCTCTTCTATTTCTTCTCTTTTTACAAACGCTTCATTATAATAACGACATCATGTACTAATACCCCACTTTATATAATTTAGATTCATAAAACACGATTGTCCCTTATTAACAAAATGACTCATTATTAAACAATCAACTATTATCAACTGGAGAAAAAAAATTTAATATGATAAAATGAATATATATTTTTATGGTGCTATTATATCGGATAAAATAATAATCAATGATCGACATCATTTAGTTTTTTTTTTATTTGTTTATTATTTTAAGAGAAACTCAATAAATTGTTGTTTTTGAAATTACTTTCAGAAAGAAATAAGAATTTAGAAAATGTAAAATATAAATAACAAAATATATAAATATAAAAAATGCACAATAAAATTTGCTAAGGGTGACTTTCTATAAGTAAAATGAATATTTATTTGTGAATGGAGCTCGTAAAGTAATTTTTGTGATTTTATGTTTGTAAAAATTATGGTTCTTTCGATATTTGGAAAAAAAGGGAGGAACGTGAGGGAAAGAATCCATGGTTTGCGAGAGGGTTTTGGTCATATATATATGGTAGAGTAGATGGTAGATTTATTCATCCACGAAGAACAAAATTTCAAAATGCAACACCTGCGACCCTATATGGGTCTGCGTATATACATATAGATTACCCAGTTCTATACCTTTTCAGTGTCCGTCGACTAACACCACTGTGTCTGTGTCACTGGATATCGTCAGCATCGAGCTTCGGTCTTTTTTTTTTTTTTGCTTTATTTTTTTTCTTTACTTTTCATCGGCAATGCTTATGCGACTCTCCCTTAACTTTTGCGATGAAAACTGCATTACCAAGTTTTCCCACTTTCAATACAAACAGGTGCAAAACCATTCACTCATCTACCTTTAATTTCAGTTTCTAGAAAGAATGCAAAAGAGAGAGATGGAGATCAACGTCTTCGGTTTCTCGTCATTTATTGCTTTTGCAAACAAACATTCTCTTGGAAAGTTTCCCGCTTTGAAAACTTTAAGTTTCCAACACGATCAGAATTTTAATTTTCAAATAGTCTTTTGTTTATTAAGAATTTATTCTCAATATATTTGAAAAAAAAATATTTGAGATTTAATGTCATGAACGTGGAATATTTTAAAAATTATAAAAATATTTAGAAGAATATTCTTCTAAAATATATTTTATATAATTAGAGTTACTTTTTCAAACTTTGAGATCTTATACAATATTATTGACACTTGAGTGGTGTTTTTTTCCTTTTTTTTTGTGAGAAAATCACGGGGAAAATCTTAAAATTTTAAGACCTCATCTTGGCCGTTTTAAGAGGGTTTAAGAATTCTAATTTCACAGTTTGCTCAAGGATCAGGATTCTACATTTTACATCTTTTGGTTTCTTTTATTCTACAAGAAGCAATTCCGCTCTTTTAAATTTTAAAGCTTTTTAACCTTTAGGATTGGTTCAGACAATCCTTTTTACTGGGTATAGATGTTTCACTATAAAATTGGGTAATCTTTTCCCTGTCTACTATATATTTCTCCAAAGAGTTCATTCACGATTCTTTAAGCGAGTTTTAAAAATTTCTTAGTTTTCTCTCTCTGTCTTTCTTTTGTTTTTTTTTATTTCCACTTTTATACCTTTTGGTTTCACTTAAACTATTTTCCCCTCCACCTGAAAACTATTTATCCCCTGTTAAAGTTTGGATTTTCCGCTTGCGGCAATATCTCACATACAATTTATTTTATTAGAAAAAAAAACATAAAGAAAATTTACAAAATTAGATTTTTAGTTTAAAATGATTGTGATTTAGATTACTTTTTTACAAAATTTTTACATAACCTTAAAAATTCAAGCAGGATAAAGGGGTTAATGACAATAACATAACCTAAAAATTAAAATATTGGAGAAACTTCTACTTCGTATTATAGATATTTTAATAAGTTTAAAGAATCTTAATTCATCATCTGTTGTAATTTTCCAGTTTCCTCGAGAAGATTCTCTTTTAAAATCGCATGAACCACAAGATGGTTTTCTGTAGCTGCGACAATTCATTTAAAAGGAAGTTATCTCTTTCTCTTCTTTCACATTGTACCATCCTTTTCCTGCCCGAAAGGGGGGATTCCACTTTCTCTCTTCGGACCCATTTCCTCGGTAACGAATGCTATATTCTAGCTCGATCTTCCACGAGCGATTTGATTTATATACTGGGTCTTGATTACAATTGATTTTAGTTTCAGGCGTACCTGCTCAAATGCCTGGTGCCATTGTTCCTCTCGCTCGCTCATTCTATTTCCTTCCCAAAGCCTCGTGATTTTCATGCATTTTCCCTCTTCCCCTCTCGACTGTATTCAATATCTCTTGCAATTTTATTTTTTTACTTTGTATCAAATTGATTTTATCAGTCATTGTGGTTTTATCCAATAAATTCATTGTTTTTTAGTCGGAAAATCGTAAAAATCAAAAAATTGTAACAAGTGATTCTAAATAGTGTAAGAAAATTTTCATCTATTGTAGAACAATTTTTTAACTAGAAAAAAGCCGCTAAATAAATTTCTATATACACTCCAAAAAATGGGAGAATTTTTTTCTTAAATTTTAAAACAAATTTTTTTGTCGGTGTAACATAAATTATTTAAATTTTTTCATTAGAGAAATGAAAACAAGTGCTTGTAACAAAATATAGCGGAGGAATTACAAAATATTAAAGCTGCGAATGCATATTCAGGATAATTGGAATTATGTGGCAGAAATTGATTTTTAGTGACCTGTTACCTAGAGCTTTAAAGAGGGAGTATTACCCCGGAAAATAGAGAGAGAGAGATAAAAACTAATATAACGGTAATATTACCAGTCCAATGGTGTTACCCATCATGAATTTTTCCCTATAATGCCATTTTTATTAAAACATTTTCTTCCACAAACAAAGCTTATATATACTCTCCAACTACTTTTCTAGATTAACAATCCCATTTTATTATCTCCATTGTAAATTTTCCATTCTATCATATTTTTTTTTCTTTTTATTAGAGTAAAATTTAATTTTTCTTTTTTACTTCATCTACAGTGTTGAAATTGGCCAAAGCTTCAACTACTTTTTTTACACCTATATATATATATATACAAAACGATATATTCATTTTACAATTTTCTCTATATATACTTTCAAATTCAACCACAATCACAGAAGAGCTTTCAGCTTTTTGTTCCACTATTAGTGTTTACGAATTGAACCTCTTGTGGAAAGGCACTTCGTTGGATGAAAGAAAGAAAGAAAAAAAAAAAATCTAACTCGGGTGATAGGATCCGTGAAAGCGGAAACGAATAAGAGGGAGAGGAATGAGAGAGAGTAAAGAAAATGGAGAACAAGTGAAATGTGCATGAGAAAGGTTTTCACCATTCGCCTACTCCCCCTCCTCCTTATGTTCTCTTCTATCGTTGTGGTTTATGTTTTTACCTACTCGGCTAGAGAAAATGCCGCCCGCGATCTAAAAGAAAGTGTATGTGTGGGGTAAAAGAAAAATGCAAGGTGTGAGAAGTAGCACTTCAGAGCGAATGATTGGCTGGTGAAAAACCGACCGGGGCATTTCCATCACAATGCTTTCGAACTATATATGTAGCTATATAAAATGTTGATGCAGCTACAATCTACATCCAACCAATATAATACGATTCCACTATGTGGCCTTGCTTCTTTGAAATCTTTGCATTTTGCTT